GCTAGCAGAAGGGTCTTGCTGGCAGATGACAGTGTATATCTCTCTGCAGGATGAGCCCCTGGTTAATACTGTTAGATTTTGTAATAGCGTTGCGCTCAGAGCTAGTAACTCCAGCCATTCCATTAAGTATTAATTCCTCTTCTGTGACATAGCCCAATAATGTCCTCTTCTCCTTACCAGCAGAGTGAGCAACACTGCCAGTTAGTATCACTTGTTCTAGGAAAGGAGAAGAGGCTCAGTGGGCCTCTTTCAACTTCAGTGGTGCTGTCTCCTGCCTGCTGTCTCAATTCCCTCCATTGGGATGGGGACAGGTGTTACTGTAAAGCTTGGCTTGGTTAGAACTTTCTGTGTCCCGAGACTATGGGTGTGTTAATTGGCTTTGTTCTGAGCTGGAAGTGCAAGCGAGTACAAGCCAACTCTGATTCTAGTAAGATAATGAAAACATGAGCAGGTCTGCCTAACCTAGTGAACCCCACAGCAAATAGTGCTATATTTATTGCAAGGGTTGCCCCTTGAGAGCAATGGATTGCATCCAGAAAACAGGTTCCAGCTTAATTAAAGGCAGCCCCCTAGTTTGCATTTCTTGAGAAATTCACTCTCCGTCGTCACCATCAGCACAGGATCACTCCTGAAACATGATGTGTTTAGTGAAGACCCCTGTGTGATTCTGGCACAATTTTGTGAGTGATATTGATTTGTGATAGTTCAGTACCTGTTTTCTCCTTCGTTATGTAAAGCCTTCTATGCCCCTCCTGGACATTAAGAAAATCACCTTGGCAAGTTAGGTCAACACCCATAGATCATTGCCTCCCATATAACCAGACTGCGTTTGCATCCTCAAGATTGTTCAACTTTGGGGACATGCCCAGAAGGCTGCTCCATGCTTCTTCTTTAATATGACCCCATTAATTGTGGCAGAAGCATACCTCCCTTTTCACCAACTTAGTTAGGATCCCCTTTCCTCTCACCCCTGTACCCTTGCCTCTGATCTCTATTTGTTGTTTTGCCCAGGAAAATTCAGAGTACTTTTCAGAGGACAGTGATTTCCTAACAAGGACTGTCTGCCATTCTTAACTATATAGAAAGGCCCTAAGGAACCCAAAGGAAAATAGTAAGTTTGGCCCAGGGGTTGATTTAGTGTTATCCCTTTCAGACCATCAACAGGAGACAGATCATCTTAACCTCTCATATAATTTTTTAAGTGTCCCTACAGGTCTGCTGACCACCTCAAAGACCACCTCAAAGTGCTGTGTACAGCATATCTCAGCTGGGAACTGTTGAAATGTATGGTGCACAAATCATGGGCTTGGTAGCCTGTGTAACATCTAAGGCAGGGGTAGGCAACCAAAGGCCCAGGGGCCAGATGCAGCCCAATTGCCTTCTCAATCCGGCCTGCAGACGGTCCGGGAATCAGCATGTTTTTACATGAGTAGAATGTGTGCTTTTATTTAAAATGCATCTCTGGGTTATTTGTGGGGCCTGCCTGGTGTTTGTGCATGAGTAGAATGTGTGCTTTTATTTAAAATGCATCTCTGGGTTATTTGTGGGTCCGGCCCATTACATGTATAGTCCGGCCCATTACATGGTCTGAGGGACGGTGGACCGGCCCCCTGCTGAAAAAGGTTGCTAACCCCTGCATGAGGAAGGAGAGGGGTGGGGAAGTCTCAAATCAGAGATCCTAGCACTAACAGGAAAGTCTAGTTAGATACACTCTCATTCTTTTCCATACTGGCACTTCAAGCCACAGAGCCATTTTTTTTTTTACATTCTGACAGCTATTTGTGCAAATAAATATTCTAACGATATCAGCCTGCATGATCACTGCTAATTCCCCTAAGTGAGATAGATCATATTGACATTCATGTGTTATAGCTAAATTCTTCAGATGTAGGCGTTTGCTAGGGTAATTTTATCCATCACAATAATATCTGTGGCATGCATTTGTCTCTAATAAAGAACCCCAAAATCATAATTGCATGAATACCTATGTAAAATATAGAAATCTGGTAACACAAGTAGCAAGTCATGAAGAAAATTAGGGTGCAAGCACCATCGAGGTGGGGAACTGCTTCATGGCAAGAATTCAAGCAGGAGTGCTTACTCACTCAAGCAGCACCCCTCCAAAAAACCCCCACCCTTTATTGCAGTGTGGTGGATGTTCAGGTCATGGATCCCCTGACAACTCTGTGTTTGAGGAGCGCTGAGATGGGGGCAGTTCTGCATACTCAGTGGTAAAGTGAATGACCCTTGTACATGCTGAAAGGTACTCTACAGTTGGTTCAATGATGTCCTCCTGGCATTGAATTAAAGTACTGGAGCTGAATCCTGGCAACTCCTAGTTCATATTCCTGTAGCATCACCACAGTAGCTGGACTGTAAGCAAAGGAGCCCAATGGCCTGACTGAAACCAACTAGCTGAAAAATATGTGTGTGTTTAATGAAACTGGGAGTAAGTCCCATTGGCATTATCTCTTGAGTAAACATGCATCGGATTCATCAAAGGGTTTAGTGGAGCAAGTGGAGCTGCCTTACACCTGTAGTATTTTGCTTTCTCTCTCTGTTGCATTTACAATTTGACATAACAAGGCAGGAACACAGGAAGGTGCCTTGTACTGAGTTGGGCCATCGGGCCATCTAGCTCAGCACTGTCTACACGGAGCAGCAGCATTTCTCCAGGGTTCCAGACAGGGCTCTCTCCCAGACCTACCTGGAGATGCTAGGGCTTGAACCTGGGACCTTCTGCAAGTTAAACAAATGCTCTACCACTGAGCTGCAGGCCTTCCCCTAAGCCAGGCATAGGCAAACTCGGCTCTCCAGCTGTTTTAGGGCTACAACTTCCATCATCCCTGACCACTGGTCCTGTTAGCTAGGGATGATGGGAGTTGTAGTCCCAAAATATTTGGAGGGCCGAGTTTGCCTATGCCTGCCCTCAGCCCTAAGGGTCTTGAATGGTCTTCCGGCTATACTTGGCTTGTAAAATGTGTCGGCACAGCTGTTTAATTGAGCAGGCACTCCACATGGACTCATTCATTCAAAATCTGACCACAACAGTGGTGTGGCAGGGACAACCTTTTGCTTTCCTGTCCAATGAGCTACCAGTTCGAGTGAGGCTCCTGGAGGGAAGGTGGCAGAGCTGTTGCTGCTGCTTAGTCTCCCATATGCCTATTGAGTGTGGTGTTGACTCTTCTGTACTGATGTTTGCCTGCCTTTGCACCATTTCTGATACCTCTGGGCTACAGAGAAGCTAGGTTGTCCTCTTTCCTGTTTTGTCCTCTCCTCTGGAAAGCCTAAGCTGGAAGAAACCCAGGCCAAAGCAACTGACCTACCAGTTTATCTAGCAACAGATTGGGACACGTTGTTTTAAAGTGCAAGCAGGGGGTAAGTGCTGAGTGAACGAGCCCTTTCTTTAAAGTCAATCAAGGAAATTGGTTGTTTGGGAGTAAAGCATGAAAAAAACTTGTGTTGTGAATACATGAACAGATGGCTTGTTACTCATTTACAAGTTCATTAAAAAGAACCAAGTCGTGTAAGTGCAACAAAATAAAACCTTATATATATTTCTAAGAAACACATGAATTTACAGAAACAGTTTAGAATGCACATTGAACAGTGTCCTTTCACCGCTATGAATGGGCCTTAACTCACAGCCCTTGCTTATGCAGTGTCTGTGACAGATCAATGGTAGAATAGTAGGGTCCCAGAATTCACAGTCGGCTGCCTCTGACATAGTGAATTCCCCTAAGAAATTCTCATATTGTATAAGAAAAATAATAATCAGACGGAAAACGCATCTCTTTGCCCACAGTTACCCAGTTTTATTTTTATAGTTTATTGGAGACATAAATGTGCTGAAATTATATTTTCAGTACAAGAAGTTATACGTTCGACAAATACATACTTAACAGTAAACAATTAAAGCTAACAATACAAGAATAAACTCTGCCTAAATAAGTACACACATGCATCTATACCATTTCATACTATAGCAGAAGCACCATGTTAACAACACAGAGAAGCCAGGCAGGGGTGTTGACAGATACTTAAAAGACTCAAGGGACAGCCCATGGCACAGGTGGATTTAGGGCAGAACAACTGGTTCAACCACACTGGATGCTGAGCCAAGGAGTGCCATGGGGTGCTGCTACTATGACATAAGAGTACTGAGCAGAATAAAAGGTGAGGCAGGGGATGGGGTGGGTACTGAATTTTGGCCTCACACAGGGCACCACTGAAATTTGAAAGACCGAAGTCTGCCCAGGCTCATTATACCAATTTGCGTAAAGTATACACATGCTAATTTTTATAAATAGGATGCAAATGCAGGCCAATTCAAGGCAACTTTTAGAGGGGGAAAATAAGTATAGTTCTTACTGTCAGAGCTTACTGTGAGCTATGGGGAACCAACAGGGTTTTGCCCCCTGGGCAAATTAAGGTGGTAGGTGGCTGGAGACTTAAAAAGGGCGAAAGGGCCGAGAGATCTGGAAATGACACAAAAGGCACAAAGTACCCCCCCCAACAGCATGCCTGAAGCAAGGGAACTTTCTTCTAGTTAAAGCTAGGGGTCTGTCCAATGGGACCTCCTTAGTCTGCACTCTCTCACAGTTGATTCCAAGTGAAATTAAACTGATGTACCAACACAGATCCATAGATGGGGCTGCAGCTCTCTCTATAGATCACAATCCTATACACACACTTAAATGGGGATTACTTCTGAGTAGACATGCATAGGATCGCACTGTTATATAACTTTAATAGGAAAGTGATCTTGTCATACTGAACAAGCTAGTCAGTAGAGAAACTCTTAAATAACTCATGTAAGTTATTAAATGGATGCTAAAGAGAAGCTGCAGTTACAGGTAGATAGCCGTGTTGGTCTGCCGTAGTCGAAACAAAATAAAAAAATAAAAAATCCTTCCAGTAGCATCTTAGAGACCAACTAAGTTTGTTATTGGTATGAGCGTTCGTGTGCACGCACACTTCTTCAGATACAGCAATTTTTTTATTTTGTTTCGAAAGAGAAGCTGGCACTTGAAGAGAGAATTGGAAAGAGTGGAGGATGTATCGGGAACAGACTGTGAAGGAACTGTGCTTTGAAAGACACAGGCGAAAACACTTTTTGCTTAAGATGCCACAATGAAGCCATTGAAGGTGAATGTTGTATTCTTTGCACACATACTTAAAAAAAGAGAAAGTTAGCAGGATAGTACAATCACATCTTATGCAGGGGTTCAGTTCCAAAAGTTCTGCATATACATGAAAATGTGTATACTCAAATCCTTGGAACCACCCCCATACGAGCATCCCTAGCCTTCCGGAGCCAGAGCACTGAATGCCCCCCCCCCAAGCAAGGCATAGAGCTTTGAAGCTCTTTCTGTACCAGGTCTGCTTGTGTTACCCGGCACGAAAAGATCTTCTAAGTTCTCTGCCTTGCATTTGACTTGGGCATTTTCAAGCGGCTGACCTTCAACCATGCAAGACTGAAAGTACACAAGTTAAACGCTCATAAGATGCAACCGTACTGTAATATCTGCACACATTGCCCCTTTTCCCCGACATTCATTACTGTACAGTTTTTGCAAGATGAGAAAGACAAGCCTCACTCGCTGGTCTCATATTTATCATACGAGCAATAATTCGGGTCCAAGCCTCTCCGGGTGCAGTCGGTGACGTCAGTGTTGCAGGTTCCGCAGTGACATCCTGTTGCCACTGGGTAGGAATAAAACGATTCTTCATGACCAGGACAGCCTGGGATCTTGATAGTCTCGTACACAACTGACTTGAATGTGCAGATGTTCTGGACATATCTCATTGCTAGGTTCTGATCAATTAGATCCTAATCATGACATAAAAAAGAGAGTCTGAATGTTAAATCCACATCCCACCAACGGCCTTTTAGCAGTGTCTAACCATGACTTTCTTTGATTTTGAAAAACCCTACCAAAACCCAAATTAAGGTGATTGATTATGTTCTTCCCTGACTTCAGTGATCTTTGGACAGCTTGTTAAACTAAAATCAATTCCTATTTTAAGACCTATCAAATCTGAAACATTTGTTACAAGACTAGCTGTCCTAGTTCTGTATCAAGTGGGTGACATTGCTCTATAACAAAATAGGAAACCATATATAAACTGGAACAAATTCCTTTGTGTGCAGAATTTCTTCTTTGAGCAAACAATAAAGTGCTTACTGCCTTGAACATAAGCTATGTTCACTGAGAATATAGAAGTCAACAACCTGTTCAATGCAATCTGATGCGGAAGAAGTCCTTAAATGTACACGTTACCTTCATGTGAACAAATCATACAAATGCATATACTTATTAACCTGTTGGCTCCTCACCTTTGTTAAGCAGTAGCCAGAGCACCATGTTGTGTTCACGCTGATGCAGAAACCACACTCTTCCTTCTCCAGTGCTATTGTGATATTGGACAGCTGGCAGTAATTGCAGCAAACAGTTTGCCAGAAAAGCAACACGACAAAGAAATTAATCGGCTTCATCCTGTAGTGCAAAGCAGAGGGGTCTTGGAGTACACTGAGACTTACAATTCAACATATCTTTAGAAGCAGACAATATTACCATTCTTCCCATGCTGATACAAAGGCAAGCTTTTTAAAAAGAAAGGATAGTGGTACGTATGCATACATTCATAGAGTAAAGTCAGCAAAACAGTGCTAAGGTTATTGTCAGAGGATAAGAGATTTGTTCAGCAGAATGAAGTCTTAATCCAGTTACACTTGAGAGAAAATAATGAAATAATGAAAAAAGGCATTTCTGCTGAATAGAAAGATATCTCAATTGCTCTTACAAATAAGCTCTGGAAACTTTTACATTCTTAAAAAAACCCCAAAACCAAACAAAACAGAATAAATGTATTTAAAAAGGCAGAGAAGATTCCTTTTTAAATGGCTTTTTTCAAAAAAAGTTCTACAAAGACCTTACCATTTCTGAAAAAGTGTTAATTAAGAATCTGTTGAAAAGTTACCTGTCTTAGACTTGCCTTGCTGGAATTATGGTAGCTGTAAAGAGCGGAAAGCTTTCCGTTGCCCTTTTATACAAAATTTGATGCAACAGACACCTTGGAGGATTTGTGGGGTATTAAGACAACTGGCATCAGGTTACACCCTGATGAAAGAGAACAAATTTGTAGCCAGACGCGTGGGCGAAACCTTGCAAAATGAAGGCCATGGGTTTTACTGGTGTTTTCAATAGTACCTGTTTTAAAATGTCACCAGAAAGCCTTGGCTTGGGGCTGGTTTACGTATTGTACTAGGAGTCCTATTAGCAACGTCACTTGGCAGTTCGGAAATAACTGGACAAGGTCACACAATGGATGGAGAGCTTTATACAGGTGTATCACTCCCCCATCTGCAGGGAATTCCTTTCTAATTTCTATGGTTTGCCTGTGATTAAAAGTGGTATGCATAAATGTAGGGTTACATCCTTAGTATGATTGCTAAAAACAGATCTCATGCAAACAACATTGAGCTAAAGAGACCAATAGGGTCTGTCTCAGTATCTTCTTAAGTCTCAACAAAAATTTCCATCCAGGCTTCAAAAACATGGATCTTAAAATCAATCAGGGGTGGGAACTTGTTCAATGTGGTAGGCTGGATCAACAGCTGCCCCATGCCTTGTGGGCCACTCTGACTGGCGTGTGGGACCACCTGTCTGTCAGCCGCCTGACATCACCATGACATCAGCTGATCTCCCCCCCCCTTTGCCATGCAGTTTGAATTCAAGGTGCACTACAAGTGAAGATCCCAGCCAATCCAAGCAGGGCTTGAAGTCACTGCTGAACTGATTGATGGTGACCTCAAGTCCTGCTTGGATCAGCTGCACTTCAAAGTTCCCGACCGGAAACTCCAGAATGTAGCTCGTTCCAAGAGGAGGGGGCTCCAGCAATGTCTTTGTGCTGTTCTTTTGGCTTGGGAGGTCGCTCGGGAGGAACAATTTGCAGTGCGGAGGGGGGTGTTTCCGTTTGGTGGAAAATTAAATGACTCTGAATACAAGCCCCACTTGTCAGGGAACAATCAGGAGTACATTTTAAGAGTCCAAGTTGCTTCCTTAGCAGTCACATCTTTACTTGTCCATACCCCACTTCAGTGAAAATATATATGAGGTGTGTATGGTCTATATCAGGGGTCTGCAACCCATGGCTCCGGAGCCGCATGTGGCTCTTTTACACCTTTGCCGCGGCTCCGGGGCGGATACTAGCGAGGGGAGGAGGCGCATTGTGTGCCCCGACACTCCCCACTGTGGCGGGCGCTGTACTGGCTGTGACGTCACATGGGGGCGGTGCGTGCGTTAGTCACGCACCGTCCCGACTTCACCTTCCCGGTTTTGCGGCTCCCAGGTTTTTTTCCCCCTTCGGAAACGGGTCCAAGTGGCTCTTTTTGTCTTAAAGGTTGCAGACCCCTGGTCTATATTAAGGGACCGGGGTGGCGCCGTGGGTTAAACCACAGAGCCTAGGACTTGCCGATCAGAAGGTCGGTGGTTCGAATCCCCGCGACGGGGTGAGCTCCTGTTGCGCGGTCCCTGCTCCTGCCAACCTAGCAGTTCGAAAGCACGTCAAAGTGCAAGTAGATAAAAAATAGGTACCGCTTCGGCGGGAAGGTAAACGGTGTTTCCGTGTGCTGCTCTAGTTCACCAGAAGCGGCTTAGTCATGCTGGTCACATGACCTGGAAGCTGTACGCCGGCTCCCTCCGCCAATAAAGTAAGATGAGCGCCCCAACCCCAGAGTTGGTCACGACTGGACCTAATGGTCAGGGGTCCCTTTACCTTTTTATGGTCTATATTGAATTATGAATTATGGTCTGGAGGAGGCTCTTGAGAGTCCCATGGACTGCAAGAAGATCAAACCTATCCATTCTGAAGGAAATCAGCCCTGAGTGCTCACTGGAAGGACAGATTGTGAAGCTGAGGCTCCAATACTTTGGCCACCTCATGAGAAAAGAAGACTCCCTGGAAAAGACCCTGATGCTGGGAAAGATGGAGGGCACAAGGAGAAGGGGACAACAGAAGATGAGATGGTTGGACAGTGTTCTCGAAGCTACCAGCATGAGTCTAACCAAGCTGCGGGAGGCAGTGGAAGACAGGAGTGCCTGGCGTGCTCTGGTCCATGGGGTCACAAAGAGTCGGAAACGACTAAACGACTAAACAACAACAAATGGTGTATATTGAGAAGATATGTTTGGACCACAGCCATCAATACCAACAATTAAAAGGACGCCTACCTAAATAAGAAAGCATCAGAAGCAACCCATTGAGAAGAACGCCTTGTTACTGAAATGAAGGGGACTCTTCATAAAAGTGACTGAACAGAAGCCATATGTCATAATGCTCTGCTTAAAAAATACCTAACTTACAAAGACAGAGGAAAGTAACGAAAACTAAACTATCTTCTACCCCTGCCTCACAGCAGACCTCTGCAAAAGTATCTGCAAAATCCTGACACAATCTTCCGAGAAGTACTGGGCAGTCTGCCTGCTAGACAGAAGAACCCCACCAGGCTGCTGTTAAACAAAATGATGCAGAACAAGAGTGTGTGTTCATGAGATAACAAATGGGCCTTTGCGTACACAAGGGGGAAGCTATAGCTAGTTCTAATATATGCTGGACTTGGTCAAGGGAATCATTCCATATCATACCCTATGAGCCAAATGCAAAAAGGAGGTTGAGATGTTTTAACAAGGGCCATGGCTGAACTAAAACTTCCACTTCTGCACTGGGCAACCTTGCCAATAGAGAAGTTTTAGATTACCACCAGTGCTACACAATTGTGGGTTATTTCTCACAATGCTTCAACAAAACTCTACACAGTGGCTAGTGCTCCAACCTGGCTCAACTTATAATCCTGCTGTTTTTCCAGACATAAAATTAAAATGTGTTTAAACCTTTAAGCCACATTTGGATGTGTGGCTATGGAAGTCATTGCATGGCCCAGAGCCTTGTGGCGACAAGGCAGACTAGATCACATTTGTGATCCCCCCCCCCCAATTTGATCATTTATTTCTAGACCAGTTTCCCAAAGGGTTGAATGCAACATGTTGATGGGATGGGAAGGGGGGGTGAAATAAAACCCTAGGGGTTGAAAAGAGCCTAGGGTGCAAAATAAGTTTATAATTATAGTGTGAAAATTGTGTTAAGAAGTATGAGCCTCAGAAGTATGAGCATTGCCCATCATCAAGCAGACCATTGCCACATATTTACCAGTTAACTGCATCTTTATAGCGCAAAAAAATCGCAGGTCAACATAAAGATGTTCCAGAAGGTCTGTTTCTTGGCTTTCAATTGTTCAGTTGTATCTGTGTAAAATAGCCCTGCAAAGAATTGTGTGGCTAGAGTATCACGAAAACTCTGTAAAGGTAGCAGTTGTTGCTCTTGGCTGATGAAGTGATCTCACAATGTCACATTGAGTTGACTAATCATAGAAGCTATTGGATAAATCACCAGGCCTACTTCTTAATTGCTGGAAAGATTTGTTCCTTGTTTAGTTGCAGTTTTTGCAGCACATGTACAGCAATGCATTGTTTAAATCCATATAACCTTCATAATTTCCTACAATGGAAAAGGCTAGCAATGTGGATTCTGTCAGGGCTGCCAGCAGGGCACCTAATTAAACAAGCTTCTCTCAGTAATGGTCGGTGGAGGCCCAATTGGATACAGATGTCATTTAGATTAGTACATTCTTCAGAGCCATGGTGGATAAAAACCATGGTGGTTTAAAACATGTATTTCTTAGCTGGAAGTAAACCATCCCCATCTTTGGTCACATCCATGTCATACATTTAAAGCACATTTATACTGTTGCCTGCCACCCTAATTTCCTAGCATTGTGAGATTCCAGGGGTTCCAGGTGCTTAACTAGGGTTCATGCTTCCTTTTGGAAACAAGGCACAATAAATATTGTGGTGTCTATATGAAATATGGTTTGTTTACACATCTACAACCTGAGCCTACAATAGAGGGGTTCACAGCATTAACACCCCAAGAGAATCTTGTTTCTTCCATCGCCAGTCTTGGATGCAAACAGACATCAAGCATCGTAATCTGCCTCTCTGGCTTTCCAGCTTGCTACTTTACAGTGGGTGGTGCTGTGGTCTAAACCACAGAGCCTAGGGCTTGCCGATCAGAAGGTTGGTGGTTCGAATCCCTGCCACGGGGTGAGCTCCCATTGCTCGATCCCAGCTCCTGCCAACCTTGCAGTTCGAAAGCACGTCAAAGTGCAAGTAGATAAATAGGTACTGCTCCAGCGGGAAGGTAAACAGCGTTTCCATGCGCTGCTCTGGTTTCGCCAGAAGCGGCTTAGTCATGCTGGCCACATGACCCAGAAGCTGTACACCGGCTCCCTCGGCCAATAAAGTGAGATGAGCGCTGCAACGCCAGAGTCGTCCGCGACTGTACCTAATGGTCAGGGGTCCCTTTACCTTTACCCTTTACTTTGCTTCTAGGCCACATCACTCCTAACTCTAACCTCTCAACTCTCAACTCTGACTTTATCTGTCGAGAGAAACCCATTTGTCTTCTCATAGGAGCCCTTTGATTCTTTGTTCTC